CACCGGGTTCAAATCCCCTAGAATTGGACTGTATCATTTAAAGTAGAAAGAATAGAAGCCTAAGCTCAAAGGTGGTGGTGCACGCCTTTAATCCCAGCACACAGGAGGCAGAGGCAGGAGGATCTCTGTGAGTTCCAGGCCCAGCCTGGTCTACAGAGTGAATTCCAGGACAGCCAAGGCTACACAGAGAAACCATGTCTCATAAAAAAAATAAAATAAAAACCTAAATAAAGAAATAAATATTTTAAAAAAGCAGAAGAAAGAAGCCTAAAGTCCAAATTGTTGTTTGTTTTCTTTCTTTTCTATTGATGCAGGGTCTTACTATGTATCCCGGACGAGCCTCCAACTCACTATGTAGGGAGGCTAGCCTTCTATGCACATCCTCTTGCTTTAGACTCCTGAGGGCTGTCCTTACAGGCAGCATCCATCACTACTGGCACAACTGGTTTTTGTTGTTGTTGTTTTGGGTGTTTTGTTTGTTTGTCGTTTCCTTCCTATGAGGGGAATGGCCTCTTCCTTCACATACTCCCACTACTATGCTCTTCTGCCTCATCTTGTGTCCAAAATCAACAGAGCCAAGGACCAGTAGCTAAAATAAGTCTTTGCTCCTTGAGGCTGTTCTTTTAGGCAATTTGGTTTCAGACAGACAAATGTGACTAAGATATTCCTTTCTTCCTGTGCAGAACAGAAAACTCTTCAAAGACGAGCGGCCATTTTGCAATCAAAAGGATCAACACAAAACTGAAAAGATGGCAAACGGGCAGCTATAAGGGTTTGCCAGAGCAGCTCTGCCTACCCTGTGTTGCCAGCCTGGGAAGTTTTTGTTAGTAAACAAACAAAATTCACATGTTTTACTGGGCCTTCACAAGAGTTTCTGTTGCATGCAGATAAATACAGTCCAAATTGATAAAATACTTCTTCAAAAGGAAAATTTCCAGGAAGGACTTTTATTTATTATTAAGAAAGTGGCATGGAGGTGGTGTCTTCCTTCTTATTTGGGGAACAATGAGATTGCCTGAGAAGTATAAGAAAGCACTGTCTACATTTTTTTCTTGTTTTTATGGATTTTTTTTTTTACTGTTTGGTAGTGTCATACATTTATAGAATAAATTTTGGCCATTTTACCCCCTTTTCATCTTGTCCTAGAACCCTTTATCTCAACAAATCCACTGCCTACCTTCATGTCTTTTTGTGTGCAACCCACAGAGTTTCTTTTCTAAGCATGGGTCAGGGGTTATTTACTGGAGCAGGGGCTGCACTAATGAAGAATCTCCGTCACCAACCAGGAACTGCCTATGGTCCTTCAAGGAGGGATGGAGCATCAGGAGCCCCTCCCCCATTCCTGGCATATTGCCGACAGGCTTCATCTTATATAGATCTTGGGCAGGTGACCACTACTACAGTTAGTTCATGACTACAACAGCAGTGCCACATCCAAAAGATATCTCTTTTTTTTTCTGAACATCATATGACTCTGACATTCTTTCTGCCCCCTGCTTCACAATGTTTTCTGAGATTTATAAGGGTGATAGAGCTGTCCCATTTAGGGCCAATCACTCAATCATCACATATTCTCAGCACTTTGGCCAGGTACAGGTTTCTGCATTAACCACGGCCCGCTGCAGTAAGAAGCTTCTCCCATGAAGGCTGGACACAGCACACTAATCTATGACAATAAACGGGTATTTGGAAGGCAAACCTGAATATTCAGTGAAACAATCATAGTAAGTTTCCCATTAGGGCCTATGACTTACTTCCCCAACCAAGGACTCTTGATCCAGTTTTACAGAAGCAGGCATGAATTCCCTCTGGAAAAAAAAAGTGAGAAATAGCTTTCTTGTCCCCTCCACTCACTCCCCACTTTCTCCAGTTCTGGAGACTCACTACTATAGGGAGGGCCTCATACATGCAGAACAAATATTCCAACTATTCTAACTGTACCCTTGTTTTATTTTGTTGTCTTGAGACAAGCTTTCACTGACTGGACCAGGCTGCCCTGGAACTCAGTGTAGCTTAGGCAGGTAATCCTCCTGCCTCCTGTGTGGCTGGGGTTCCAGGCCTGCACCACTAGACCAGGTTATTTTTTTCTTTTTCTTTGATCTGTACTTACTCATAATGGAAAGAGAGAAATCCAGAGGAGCTGGAGACATAGGACAACTTGTACCTTCTGGTTAAGTGGCTTCAGTAGGTGTCCCTTCTTAGAGAGGCATTGACTAATTTGTCTTGATAGCAACTTCTTGGGATGTGCCATGGGGAATAAAAATTGCCCTGGTCAACAAGTTCAGAGAAAAATGTATGCTGTGTTCTAATGTGATTTTCTCCTTCAAAACTTACACTAAATTGTATTTCCAATGTAAAAGTGTTGAAAGGTGGTAGTATCTTTAAGGGATGATTAGGTCATTGAAAGGGAATGACTTAATTCTCAAGGGGCTGGGTTTATTAACCTGACTGAGAGCATAGCAGTATAAAGCTCGGTTTGCTTGTGTTGTGCTGTGTTTTGTTACGCCTCTGCTTGCACTCACACTTTGCACCATAAGTAGAAGCAGCACAGATTCTTTGTCTTTGTCACACTCTAAGGCTTCCCAGCCTCTAGAACCGTGATCCAAACCAAACCTCGTTCTTTATCAATTTCCCAGTCTCCTATATATGCATATTTCCTTCTCCATTGGAATTCACAACAATAGGCATTATGATGTTTATGATTCTTAATAAAACTGGTAGTGAAGAAACAGGTTTACAATTCTTTAACCCATACCCTTAAAAGCAGAGTAGCACCAATTACTATCCTGGAAAATGTTCTTTGGGAAGTTTCATTAGAGAAAAGGATGAAGACAAAAACTTTTTTAAAAAGTTAAACTGTAATAACTTAAATTGTCAGAGATCAAAAATAATGACTACCCCCTGGAAAGGAATCTCTCTGGATTCAGCATGGGTTATATTTTATTGCTGTTAGAGGTAGAAGGGTATTGTGTAGGAGAGTGAGATTTACAATGAGCACTAAGTTAAATATCATTGAGAGTAACACAAATTGAGTGGATGCCGTCATCCGGGTAAGACGGTTAGTTTTTCTCCTGAGTTGCCCAAGCACATTGAAATTTTTTTCTTCTCTTGAGTAGATCCAAGAACATGATTAGGGCTCCGATAGTCCAGAATTGATGGTGATAATCAGTCAGCCCCAAGAACTACTTCATCTTCTTTCTCTTAGAGAGTCCCTATCTTTTAATAATCTACACTTTAGCTCAAGGATGAATCATTTGTCTTTGTCCCATTTCGTAACCCAAACACATTGTCTCTGGCAACCAAACACACCAAGGTCCCTCATAGACAGACTAGCTCTTTAGTTGCACTCAAATACTTTTTTTAAAAACTTTCTTTTGGTGACCAGCTCCACCTCAGCTCATGCTGGAAATGTCAGCCCTATAGATTACACTGCTGTTCAGTGGATTCTTCTGAAGACTGTGCGAAGAAGTAGGGAACTAAGAAACTCAAGGTGAAAGAGGACTATAAAAAGCATGAAGAAAAATCTTCATTAGAAAATTTATTTAGCCAGGCAGTGGTAGCACATGCCTTTAATCCCAGCACTCAGGAGGCATAAGCCAGGGTATTTCTGTGAGTTCGAGGCCAACCTGATCTACAGAGCTAGTTCCAGGACAGCTAAGGCTACACAGAGAAACCCTGTCTTGAAAAAAAGAAAAAAAGAAAAGAAAATGTATTTAAGGCCAGGCATGGTGGTGCGTGCCTTTAATCCCAGCATTCAAGAGGCATAAGTCCAAACTCAACCTCTTCTACATATCGAGTTTCAGAACAGCCAAGGCTACATAGTGAGATCCCATCTCAAAATAGATAGATAGATAGATAGATAGATAGATAGATAGATAGATAGATAGATAGACAGACAGACATATATAAATAGATAAATTTGGAGCTAAAGAGATGGCTTGGTGGTTAAGAGTGTGTACTGCTCTTTCAGAGGACCTGAGTTCAGTTCTCAGAACCTACAACAAGCGGCTCAAAATCACCTGAACCCCAGCTCCAGGGGAATCCATTGCCTCTTGCCTCTAAGGGCACCTGTATTCACAGGTACACACACACACACACACACACACACACACACACACACACACGGGGATATGCATATACGCGTAATTAAATTTTTTTAAAGAAAGTTTATTTAAGAATGATCTCTTTAATCAATGTCACTGGCTAATTTTGGGTCCGTAAATCTAAACTGGCAGGTAATAAAGTAAGTTTTCATTTTCATTTCGTTCTGAGTGTCTTATACTTGCTAAATTCTCTTGGGCACTCGACACAGCTGTTTATTTCCTTAATCTTTTTTAATGCAAATGTCTTTAAAATTGGTTATAAATCTCTCCTTTTAAAACTCCTTTCTCCCTTGATGCCAGAAGCTTGACTTGCTTCCTTCCAACCCATCACTAGTGTCATCCTTCAGTGACCAACCTGCAGCCCTCTGGCTCTCACAAGGGTTCATTTTGGTCATGATCTTAATCATCCCTTCTAGGCAGAGCTAGATCAAAACTTGGGCTGCTCATCTTGTTTTGCTAAAGATGAGAACTGTCGCAAAGGGGTCTCACCAATAGGAACTGTAAGTGACGCTCTTCATTCATTACTGCATGGATTCTTCATCACGGCCCGGTCAGCTACGTACTCCTGTCCTGATTTAGCAATGAGGAAACCGAAGCTCAAAGAGATCAACTAACCTGGCCCAGTTAGCTAGAAATGATAGGGTGAAGGATGGAAAACGTGGGAAAAGTGGAAGTTCCGCTTTACCACCTCTTCTCATCCAGGTTAGCTTGATACACAGGCCAAGGAAATATGAGAGATTCTGGATAGGCTTTTTCCCCTCCAAACATTTTTTAAAATGCTTGCCTCAATCCAACAGTTCCTGAAGCCCCTTTAGCTCTCTAATTCCTTGAGATTCATGGAAGCATCTCAAAGTGGACAGTATCCAGGAAAAGAAACAACGAACTGAATTGCTAATATGTAATCACACATTAAATATTTATTAAGCACCATTTATTAAACAAATAGAATGATATGATAACAGCGAGTTGTATTTGCTTAGCACTTCAGCTTTGCACAGCCTTACTGTATCCTAAAGAATTACATAAAGCTGAGATTACAATCTTCATTTCACAGATGATGAAATTGTGGCTCAAAGAATTTGAATGACTCATCCAAGGTGACACACTTGAGTCCCATTTTCAGATTCGAGGCTCGAACCCGGGCGTTCTGATCTTCAATTCTGTGTTCTTCCCTCTATATTACATTAACTCGAGAGGCTTATAGGTGGGATACACAAGGCAAGCATGCATGAAGAATTAACTGACAATTCAAAATAGTGTCCATCATGTCAAGAAATGCTAAAGGTGCTAACTGACTAAAAATCACAGAAGAAAAGATCACTGTTGGTAAGAATCAGCAGAGAAAGTCTCAGAAAATATGAGAAACCTAAGCCTGGCCCTTGGAAAATATGTTTTTAAAAAAGGACAACTTGGGGGTGGCATTTCAGTATAGAGGACAGAGACAATGAAAGTACAGAGGTAAGAAAATGCAAATGTTGCCTGGAGAGAGAAGAAAGACACTTACTTACCCAGAGAAGTCTAGAAATGTAGCTCACTAATACAGGTGCAAGACCTTGGGCTCTTCCCAAGCACCACACACACACCGAACAGACAAACACAAAAACCTTAGAGAAGAGACATTTGTGTTGAGGGAGAATCAAAAATTGACAAAAAGAAAAAATCGTTTTGAATTTCTTCCTAAATTATTTTGACTTGTAGACAATAAAAATAAATCATCGAAGATTTCTAAAAGAGTGAAACTTGGAGAGAAGTGTTGGACAGATTGATCTGACAATGTGCATTTGTGTGGAGGGAGGTTGGAGGTGAGGACTAGACAGAAACCTACGACATTCAGTGAGGGAGAAGATGAAGAGTCAGTATTGGAATGGTGATGTTGGGACCATAAAAGAAGGCTGGTTACACTAGGCAAAAAGAGCAATGTCAGAACTTGGGGAGACAGGAGGAGAAAAGAGTGGAGTTTCCCAGAAGCTTTAGAGCCTAGGTCATTTAAGAAAGATGTCATGAACAGAAATGAGTAAGATGAGTAGGAGAACTGGTTCGGGCAGTTTCTTTTTTATATATTATGGGTTAGAAGCAACAGTGGAAGATCTAAGTGAACCTATCCAGCAGGCGATTGAGGCTTAGAGGGACAAAGGTCTGGCCCAGCACCAATTGGCTGGTAGATGAAAGGAGTCGTGGGAAACCAGTCCAGGGTCTAGTTTCTACCTGCCACTATGCAGAAAGTCACAGGCATGACATCTCACTGGGTCTGTTTCTTCAACTGGAAAATGGAGGGGAGCCCAAGCCCTGTATGATCTCTGAGGTATTCTTAAGGACTAGAAGTCAGTTAAATTGTCGTCACCTGCTATTTGTTCTAAGACGAAACCAACAATTTGATGAGAGAGAGGATTAAATAACCCCCACATGTTGAGAGTCTGACAAAAAGATGGCAGCAAAGAGAGAAGTGATCCAGGGAAAGCAGGAGGAAAGAGATTCTAAATCTAGGGAAGGAAATAAAGTATCATAACAGATGGGTTAAATATGTCAAATACAACCAATGATAATACACATATTAAATAAATATCATATTTCAATAGCAGTATACCACTAAAATAGTAGTTGAAGAATAATGCAAATAGTAAACACAAGAGAAAGTGTTCAATGCCATAAGTAAGCAAGGAAGTGAAATTAACAAATTGAATGTTTACCATCCAGAAAGATTTCCTATAAAGTCTGCTGCTGGAACTGCAATGGAACTAGGATGGCCATATATCACTGTGACAGTAAAAATTTATGCAGTCATTTTGAAAAATCACAATCCACAAAAATGTTCGTGTTCTCTGGTCTGGTAATCTTACTCCTGAGGACTTGCCCTAGAGATAGAATTACCAAGAAGAAAAAAGCCACAAATGGGGAGAGATTCAAAGCACAGGAAAACTGAGCTACCTAAATGTTCACTAATAAGGGGATAGTCTAATAAGATATAACCTACCAATGGAAGTAATTGTTTATAGCTGCTGAGATAATAAATGTGAAAGACTGCATCAACATGGAGAAAGGAGGTTTACAATAAGCGAGGATTATACTTATTTGTTTTGAGACAGGGTCTCACTATGTAGCCATGGCTGACTTCAAACTTATGATCCTCTCGCCTCTACTACCAACTCTTGGGATTATAGACATACATCACCATACCCTAAATATCCTAAAAAGCAGACTTTTATACACTGTGGTTATACTTCTATAACACATGAATACAAACCAAGAAAACATGAAGTATAGAAAATGGAAATATGGGTTTGAAATAAGTGAATCTTTTCTCTCTACATTTCCTTCAGTGTTGTCCCAGTGAGATTTTTTAAATGTTACCTTTATATTTTAAAAAACTAGAAAAGACATGCAATAGAGCCAAGTGAAGTGAGCGGTCAAAGAGGGATAAAAGTGAAAACTGTGTATCACTAAAGTTCTTGCCAAAGACATAATCTGTGCTCTGAGAGCAGGAGAGTGCAAGGGGATCGGATTTGGAGAGTCTGGCGCAATTCCGTGAGTAGGTGGGGTTTATAGCGCTCTCTCTGGCAAGGCAGTGGGGAAATGAATAGGAACTAACAGAACAGTGGCAAGAGGAGCCAGCAAGGCCAAGGCATGAGTGCTTAGGTCTTCTTTCTAATGATATAAAATCAGCGATGGAAGTACCTGACAAAGATGAAGGGAAAGAAAGAAAGGAAGAAGGTCCTTCCTTCAGGGACCAGGGGGCAGGCAGGGATAGAGACAAAATGGGACATCTAAGTAGATTATGAATGAAGTGTAGAGAAGTTGAGGTATTGACCCAGCCTGGTGGCATACGTTTTTAATCCCAGCACTCGAGAGGCAAAAAGGGCAGGTGGATCTCTGAGTTCAAGGCCACCCAGGTCTCTCTCTGTAGCTAGTTCTAGGCTAGAGAGAGGTACATAATGAGATCCTGGAGCAGCAGACTTATAAAGTCCGGGAGGTTAGTCGTGACTAAGCAGCTTGGAGTTATGGGGCCTGCCAATGGGGGGCCTGAATGAGTTATATTGGAGAGACTAATTAATCTTACTGTGGGGAGCTACTAAGTAGGAGAGGGGTGACAGGCAAGGGGGCTGTGGCCATAAGAGTGGGGACCTGGAAAGAATCAGCAAGGCCAGTTAATTTACTCCTAATAGAAGAACTCTTGTGTTCCAAGGGCGAGAGTTCTCTTTAAAGAATGGAAAGGAGGGGCCGAGGGGCATTAAGATTAAGTTCTTTTCCTCTGCAGCCTAGCACCTCCCTCCCCTTCTCTCCAGAGACAGAGAGGACACTTAGAAGCCAAGAAGAATTTGGTATCGGTCGATGAGTAAGAGATCAGAAAGGTCAGCAAAGGCTGGGGTCTGACTCAGGAGACCAACAGGCTATAAGGTGATTTCATAGGAAAAGAGACTGAAAATAAATTTCCCTTCTGAAGAAAACCCGCCCAGAAACTTACTTCTCAGGCTCAGGGTTCAGTCTCCCCGGCTCTACACACCCACCAGATCCTCCAAGTGCTGTGGGAAGAGGTTGAACAGGTGGAAAACTGAGTGCCCCACCCTAGCCTTGAAATCCTATAGCCTGATTCAGAATGAGCTGGTGACAGGTTTATCCTTTATCTAACCAGAGCTAGAGAACGGGAAGAGACCAGCGAAGAGCCAGTTCTGGGCGTCTATCCTGCCACCACCCTATTATCCTTTGCACAAACCTGCTCTGCCCATCAGTTCTAGAACCTGGAGCCATGGACTTAAGAGATCTTCCCTCTGTCAGAGCTGTCCGCCCTTCTTTTCATTAAACATATGGGAGCTGTCAACTAAGTTCTCCACAGTCATAGACAGTGTCTGGTCTCATTCTTGTTTCCAAGGTTGCTATCAACCTGGACCCTGCCCCCTGAGGCTTCTCAGAGTCGCCACTCAAGAGCAGGACTCTACCAGCAGTCCAGACAGCACCAGGGTTCTAGCTGCTTGTGGGGCCCCTGGCAGGCAGGGTTGGAGACCCTGTGCCCTATTTCGGCACCTTGGCAGGTAAGACTAGCTTGTCTTTGAGAGGGAGCCAGGAAGTGGGTATGGATGTTCCATGTGGCATATATAGCATCCGTGATATGCTAGCACCCGGCTTCCTGATTCTGACTCCATCATATCCATCAGGCCGCCCTTGAGACTGCTCCACCCTTCACCTGTCTAGTTGAAATCTCTACTTTGGCTGGAGAAAGGCATGCTGTGGAAAAACCCCGGGGGAAGCAGAAAGGGCCAAGAGCACTGAGGAAGTCTTGCGAGCTCTAGAAACAGGATCAGTGGCCCCAGGAAGGGACAGGAAAAGAGAAAGAAGTAGAAGCAGAGGAGTAACTGCTCCAAACGTCGGCTAAAAAGAGGGTAGCTGATGGACGCCCTTATCAAGTGTCGCTAGCGGGCTCCCCTCCCTCTGTCCTGCAGTGAGCCCCCTTCCGTTCATACCCAGTGCCCAGGGTTATAATCGGTCTCCCTCATAGGTAGGGAAAATGATGTCCTGGTGGATGTCTGCCCACCTGCTGCTGCTTTCCTCATGTAAGGTCACCAATGCCAGGGAGGACGCAGTTGTTCGGGGCTGGGGCCCGCTGCCTCTGCAGAGCCTCTGGAGCTGGCTTCGATACTTGTCCCCAGTGAACAGATAGAGCACTGGATCCAGACAGCTATTCGCACTGGCCAGGGGCCGGGTCACTTTGTAGACCACGTTGACAATGTTCAGCACGTGGCAGTCAGCTTTCAACAGCCTTGCCAGGTAATAAATTGTGCGGGTGATGTGGAAAGGTACGAAGCAGACAGCGAAGACCGTCAGCACGACAGCAATGGTGCGGAGAGAACGGAGCCGAGACGATGACTGTCCAGCTCCTGGCAAAGGTCGATACAGTCGTCGGGCCATGAGTCCATAGCAGACCAGGGTGACCAAGAAGGGCAAGCCAAAGAGCAGCACCATGACTGCCGAACTGAAGTGCACATAGTGGTCAAACTCCTCGGGCCGGGTGGTGTCATGGCACAGGGTGGTGGTTCCACTGGGGCTGGTTGTCACAAAGAACAGGTTGGGCACGAGGCAGCCAGCTACCACCAACCAAACAGCTAGGCAGAGAAGGCTTGCAAATCGAGGGCGGCCCCAGCGGAGCGCCCGCAGTGGGTGGCAGATGCCCAGGTAGCGGTGCACACTGATGCAGGTGAGGAAAAGGACGCTGCAGTAGAGGTTCCAATAGAAGAGAAAGCGGACAAACTTGCAGAAGCCAGTGCCAAAGGGCCAGTGGTTTCTGGCAGCGTAGTAGTAGACGAGGGTGGGCAGTGACAGCACATACAAGGTGTCCGACAAGGCCAAATGGAACATGTAAGTGGCTGTGGCATCCCAGGGGCGAAGGCGGAAGAGGAACAGCCAGAGGGTCGGGGCGTTGAGGGCTAGGCCCAGCACAAAGACCACGGCATAGCTCACGGGCAACAGGATGAACTTGAACTCCTCGTTAAACCTGCAGTCACCATCTCCAGAACTTTGGCTGGGGCCTAGAGATGTGAACAGCAAGGAGTCTGAACTGGTCATGGCCCCCTACAGGTAGAAAGGAGAGAAGTGAGTGATTTCTCTGGTTTCCCAGTCCTACAAACCTACAACAAAAGAAGAAAAGCACCAGAAAGAGCGAGGAGGAGCAAATCCAAGTGCAACCCAGGCCGGCCCAGCCCCTCCCCAGCACCCTTAGTCCAGCCCCTACCCAGCCCAGATCCCTTAACCCAGCTCCTACCCAGCTCCCTTAGCCCAGCCCCTACCCAGCTCCCTTAGCCCAGCTCCTACCCAGCTCCCTTAGCCCAGC